CACAAAAACACTCAGGAATATATAATAATTTAAACAACCAAAGAGCACATTCTACAAGCCTCCCTCCTGGCTGCCAGCACTCAGCCTTTCTCTTTCCCTGAGTCTAGAGTCCTTAACTGCTCTCTTTTCCATGCCCTCATCTCTGCCTCCATCGCTGGTGTTGCTGGTTTTCTCTGGATAGGGTCCAGCATTCCGCTTGTGCTCTTCTCCCTTCATAGTCCTAGGGTCCTCTGTTCCTGGAATGTTAGATTAACTACTCCCCCGTTTTTGTTACAATACTTCCACCTTTACAATTGCAACAGTTGCAATTAGTCATGAAAACAATTACTCACTATTGGATCATAAGAATCTTATCACCATCTCTTTTCACCAGACCCATCTAGACAAGATGAAAAGTATTCAGTGGGGTAAAAATGTTCTTTCTTTTGTAACATCAAGTTGTTAGAGATGGGGGTTCATTTGGGTTGCTTTTTATTATCATTCTTTTGTTTTAATGGTCACAATAAGGCAAATTTAAAAGCCACTTATTCACTGATGGTCCTGAAGTGTTCTTTGGTGGAAAAATGTCTTTGGTCTTTGAAATCCAGACTGTTGGGACCCATGGACTACATCACTTGTCAAATTCCTTTCTATCTGATAGCTCTGTGATTTTATGTCACAGGGTCATGACTATGAATGGCAGAATATGAATACATCCAAAACCAATCTCAATTTATGAACCAATGTTCCCACAACTAGATGTTTAAAAAATGTTAGTAATAGTCTCCATCAGGACTGAGAATTTTTGCTAAAGACCCTCCCACACCTCCCTTGGGTCGATCTTAGCTTCAATGCCATGAGTGAGCAATTTGAGAACTAGTATTCCTATGACTCTCTGGTAGCGTAGTGGTTACAAATCAGGCTGCGAACCTCAAGGTCATCAGTTCGAAACTACCAGCTGTTCCACAGGAGAAAGATGAGGCTTTCTGCTCCCATAAAGATTTACAGCCTTGGAAACCCTGTACAGGGTCGCTATGAATTGGAACCAACTCCATGGCACATAACAACAATATTCCTATGGTACTGTAGGACAAGCACTGGACTGTGAATCGCAAAGTCTTCAGTTCAACCCTACCAGCTAATCCTCTGAAACCCTCTACAGGGTCACTATGAGTCAGAATCAACTTGATAGCACTTAACAACATAACATTCCTATCTGGAATCCTGGTGTGGTGCTGTAGGACAAAGCACTAGACCGTAAGGTCAGTTTGAACTGTCAGGCCTGTGGTTCAAACTCTCCAGCCGCTCCTCAGAAACACTATATGGGGTCACTGTGAGTCAGAACCGACTCAATAGCACTAACAACAAAATGTAATTCTTACTTGCTGATGCAGAACTGAAGTCCAAGGAATTAAGATGCTTTGTCTAAGCTGGAGTTGGTGGCAGAGCAAAGAGCAGACTCCAAGACTCTCCCTATCCCATGGCATGATATGCTTCTACCATGAGAAACCAGTGGTCATCTGTACCTTCCTGACTTTCTCCTGCTTTAAAGCAAATCTGGTTTTCTCTTAGTTTAGCAAACTGAAGATTAGCAGGTCCACTCTCACAGGATGGGTGGAAAGACTATTCGCTTAGAGAAAGTCCTGGTTCCAGAGCTGACCTCAATTCCAGCAGGTTATGATGCCTCTTTGTGAAAGTGCTTCCTCCTCTCTCAGCCACATCTATAATATAACAGCAATATACTAAATAATCTGGAAGGTTCCTTTCAGCTTTGACATCTTATAATACTACCATCTTCGTAAAGATAGAGGGGAGCAACCTTCACAATAATCCTGAGGAAATGATGCTATAGCCTCATGCCCCTTCTGGAAAAGTCATTGAAAGACACATGGTGGAAATGAATCCAGACACTTATGAGAGGAAGTGCCAGGGATAACGCAGTTGTCACTGGTAAGGACGAGGCGGGAAGCCGGACACCTTCCAAGAGACCTCAGCCACTGGCTGATGAAGGTTTGTGCCCATTAGCACGAACCCAACAGCAGCCCAGAGCCTGGAGATACAGGGTCATGTGTGTACACCAAAGTAACGTCATAGGATGGCACTCAGCTGCAAGGGAATCATGGAAACCCAAGCCTGTATGTAGTGAATGGATTTCTGATTCCTAACACAAGTCTACCATTACCAGCCAGAGGGACCACAGCAGACTGTCACCTCATGCCCACTCCATTGACCTTAAGTTTCCTTGAACTATTCCAGGTGTTCAGCCAGTGCTATGTGTCAGGGAAGGCACTGGTAGGAGGTCTTTTCTCCACACCTCTCTGGGTTTAGCTTTTTCATCTAGAAAATGTAGCTAATAAAGACTACGTGGAGCTTTGATGAGGATGAAATGGGGCGGCAGAAATGACTCATGCCTACTGCCTGAGTCTGCATCCTTCAGGCACAAAGTCCACTCTGCTCTCTCATATTCAAATAAGATGTCTCTACTGCCATAGGATGGAGTCCTGATGTGGCGCTGTGGGTTAATGTGCTGCCTGGAAGGGTGGTTCAAGTTCACCAGCCACTCTTCAGAAACCCTATACAGGGTTGCTATAGGTCAGAACTGACTCAACGGCACGTAACAATAACAACAACAACAATCACATCCCTCATAAGGTGGGGAACCAAAAAAGCGTGGGGAGGAAGGGCAAGGCTCGAGCATCTCCTTGGTTCATCATGTTCCAGTCTTCTGCTTCCACCCAATTTTGAATTTCACGTATGCTGTGTTATGTGGCTTGTTGGTCCAAACTGCAGATTAGATCCGCCTTTGCCTTGATTTCACCCGAGTGGTGACAGCACCCACTATTTATATGTAGCAGTTTACAGAGGGTCTGGGGTCTGTAGAGAAGCTTGCAGTTGAGTGTTTATATCTGAGTGTAGCACAGCACCTAGATGGAATTCAATATCAGGGCTCTCTGTGCGTCACAGTCTCAGCCATCGCAGAGAGGAGGGATTTCTCAAGGCACATCCGTCTTGCCCCTCTATGTGCTAACCCACTCTCCTTTCTCTCTGTGTTTATGTCTTCCTTCTCCCCTCACACACTCTGCAGAAATTCAAATGTTGCTGATTTTGTTTTTCAGAATGATTTTGGTTCCTCGTTCTCATCCCAATAGGTTATGGGACTTCTCCATAGCAAAACAGCCCATCAGCCAAATGACAGTTCATATGGCTAGTAGAAGAATTTTGGAGTCAATTTCTAAAATAGCTTACTTATTCATTTCACTAAGTGTATGTAAGGGATCTCAGTGGCTTTGTAGGATAAGCACTGCACTACAAACCACAAGATCGGTGGTTCAAGGCCACCAACAGCTCTATGGGAGAATGATGAGGCTTTCTTCTCTAGTAAAACTTTAAAGCCTCAGGAACCCTATACAGGGTCACTATAAGTTGGAACCGACACAACAGCACTTAACAACAACAAAAGTATATATGAGCACCTGGCAGAATGTAAATAACTAACATATATAGGGCATTCATTATGTGCCTTGGTGTTCACTCTTCAGTCATCACAAAGATGATCATTATCCATATTTTATAGGTAAGGAAACTGAAGCTAAGAGGGGTTTACTAACTTGCCTAAGATTTCACAGTTAGTAAGAAGTGGGGCAAGACCTCCCATCTGGGTGGACCCTCTTTGGAGTCCTATATGTGTAGTCAGAACCCTACGGTCAGACACAGACTGAAGCTTGTACTTTCATGTCTCTGTGGCCCACTGTTATCAAGTGCTGGGACCAAGGACCATTAGAGTGATCACTTTGGGGGTTCATATGAAGAGTGGCATAGAAGAAAAAAACCTTCACAGTACAGGACCTAGAGGCTGAGTTAAAATCCCAGATTCACAAAGAGTTATGTGACCTTGGATGATTTCTTCCCCACTGTCTGCCAGTCCAAGAAGTTTTGGTCTTTCCTGTGAAAATTGTGCACCCTCCAATATACAGGGGCTCCTACTCATGGCATCCCCAATGCACAAAGGGATTGTACTGTTGTGATCTGTAGAGTTTCATTGGCTGAGTTTTGGAAGCAGATCACCAGGGTTTCTCCTTAGTCTATCTTAGTTTGGAAGCTCCTGTCAAGCCTGCTCGGTGTCATAGCAACTCACAGCCTCCACTGACAGACAGGTGGTAGCTACGCATGAGGTAGATTGGTCAGGAATCAAACCCAAGTCTCCCACATAAAAGGTGAGAATTCTTCTACGGAGCCACCACTACCCTCACCCTAGAAGCCCTAAGGAATCTGAAACAATAGCTAGACCATACGTGGGTTCTGACAACCCTATCGGTGCAATTCTTACCTACCCTGGAATTCAGTCTCCAGTTGAAAATGTGGTCCCAAAGGCAGAGAACTGGATTGGAATGTGAAGCTCACCTGTAGTCCAGTTGTGACCCTTGGGGACTTGAAGCAATATGCTTTCCTTCTCAGGGTCTTGAGTTTCCCCTTTTTAACATGTAGAAGAGGGCGGAGGCAAGCCAGATGACCTAGCCCTGGCATGGATTTTACTGTAACACGCCTTGAATCACCAACAATTATCTTAGAGTTCTCCAACCATTCCAGTATTTTGCAATTCTTTCGTAGCTTGGCAAACTGTTTTCCTACCTCCCCTCTTCCTGGTTAAAAAAGAAAATGTGGCCATCAGAGAAAACTGAGTGAAATGGACTTGGTAATCATATCTAATCTAACTACCATCAGAGGAACAATAGATGCTGCCACTGAATGCAAAGAAACTACACTAAGTAGACTGGATATTCACCAGTACTCAGCTATCCCAGAATCACCATGGTTGTGATCAGGTGGTCAAAAGCCCACCAGGCATCATACTGCAGGAGGTCCCCTCCTTCTTCCCCTTGTTGTTAAGTGCCGTCGAGTCAGTTCTGACCCATAGTGACCCTGTATAGGGTTTCCGAGGAGCTGCTGATGAGTTTGAACCGCCGACCTTGCAGTTCAAATGGCTTTGCAGTCTGGCGCATTAACCCACAGCACCACACCAGGACTCCCCTCCTCCTTCCCCTAGAGAGTCTGACAACTGCAGAGACCTCACTCCTCCTATCTGATGAGTGGATTTATAGCTAAGTTGACCAGCTCTAGCAGTTAGGTTGGTTTTTGTCTTCACAGCAATGGGGAGTGCTCCTGCTCAGGGGGTAAACTGCTTTTCCCAAAAGGTACAGGCCTATTTGCTACTCCATTTACTTTAAACACACTCACATCATTTAAACCCCATTCCTGTCAAGTCAATTCTGACTCCCAGCAACCATATAGGACAGATGTAGAACTGGCCCACACAATTTCCAAGACTCTAAGTCTTACAGAAACAGACTGCCACATCTTTCTCCTATGGAGCAGCTGATGGGTTCAAACCACTGACCTTCCAGTTAGCAGCTGAGCACTTAACCACTGCACCACCAGGGCTACTACATCATTCAAAAACTCACCCTTAAACTCACTGTCTATCTCTTACAGCAGAGTTGAGAGAATGAATGATCTCTTGACCAGAAATAAACTCGAAAATGAGCTTCCCAAAGAAAAATAGGTTAGGGTGATGAGGAAGCATCCAGAATGTTAGTCATCTACACCTAAGCTTCTCACCACAGACACAGAGAGGAGGGGGAAGAAAAGGAAAAAAGAAAAAGGAAGCAAAACATTTGGATCACTAAGATATGTGCCAAATGTTATACTTGAATTTAGCATATACAGGTCACAAATTTCTGAATCTAAAGGAGAGCTCATAGTTTCCACATTTCAAATATCCTGGGGAAAAAGAAAGAAAGAGGGAGGGAGGGAGAGAGAGACAGTAAGGAAGGACTGAGAATGGAAAGAAGGCAGAAAAGGAAGGGAGGGAGAAAATGAATAAGGAGTATGGGAGGAGGGAAGAAGGAATGGCCTATTTCTTAACTAGTTTCATTGTATGTTTCATTCAAGCTTAATTCCTGATCCAAGCAGAGTGAGCTCTGGACCAGGAAACATGAGTCAAGCATTATTTAGCATATTTTGGGTGATAGACACTAGGCTCATTATCATTCATGACTTCATTTAATTTTCCCAGTAATTTATCAAGATACATAATATTATCTTCATTTTTGAAAAAGGGAAAGGACAACTCACAGAGGCTGAGTGACTTGTGAACGGTCACCCAGTGAATAAGTGGCAGATGTTCAGTTTGAACCAAGTTTGTCTGATTCCCAAGCCTAACTTTCTAAATGTGCCACAGTTCTCCTGCATCTAGAATAACCAGGAGGAGTTTTCTAAAAGTTATTTAAAATGTTAGCATATTTCATCAGGTTACTCCAGACTCACCCTTCCTTTTAAGTTATACACTTTAAAACTGCTTCTTAAATATCTCAATAATGTTCATTCAACCTGCATTTGGTATAAATTCCAAGCAAGCAGCCATACAGTCAGAAAGACTTATAGACTGCAACAGATCTGTATTGAAAAGACACAAAAATCCAAAGAAATCTTCAGAGGATTGAAACACCCCAACTTGATCTCAGATCGTATTTACTGATTAACTCCTATGTGCTTCAGACTGGAGTGAGTTTTCCCTCAACACTTTTTGTAAATTCAGGGTTACCAGCTGTCCTTTGTTTGGCAGAGAGTTCGTGTTTCCATCACTAGTCGATCTCATGGCATCATGGAAATGGTCAAGACTGGTGAGACTCTCCCCTAGATGTCACTGTTGTGACAAGTAGATCTTCTACCTGAAGGATGGAATTTAGAAGAGATGGAATTTACCAAGAGATGGTAGATGCCAATCATTAAGATAATCCTCACAGTGTTGTTGTTATTGTTAAGTGCCAGCTAGTCTGTTCCTATTCATAGGGTTTCCAAGCTGGTGGGTATGAACTACCAACCTTGTGTTTAGCAATCTAGTGCTTATCCTTCAGCACCATACCAGGAAGGATAAAATAGGAGGATTCTGCACACTTTCTCAAAAGTATCAGATGGCCTCAACCACTTAGGTACAATTGGAAATGCCAGTCCATCAGTTAATGCCATGTGATTTGTGTTAAGCATTTCATCAGCCAGCCCACTCTGCTAAGAGGCATTACTGAGCTATTCCACTCTAACACAGAAAAGGGGAGAAAGGGGAAAAGGAGCTACAGTTTTTCAAGTATATTCTTTAAGCACCAGCTTAAGACTGTACCAGCTACATCCATAACCTCCTTGTATGTTCATAAAATTTGGGGGAGAGGTGTTACTGTTCCCACTTTACACATGTGGTAACTGAGGTCCAGTAAGGAGAGGAAACAGCCTTACCACAAAGCTTTTACCATAACTCAGATGCTCTTTTCAAAGTGCACTGCACCTGACTTGTCCTAACATCAGAGTTGCTGTAGAGCTGGAAGGTACTTGGCACTTAGACCTCATACCACCTGCTCTGAATGATCAGGGTGATTGGAATTGCACATTGTTGTGCCTTTATGGAAGCCTAACTGCACCTATCTTGTGATTTGATAAGGTTCCACACATGGCCCTAAAGTCATCTGCTGGCATTTTCCTACAAGAGGGAGACCAGAAGGACTATTAGGACTGCTTTAGCAGGCTTCTCAATTTTCAGTTCAAGCTTCTACGGTAACTGTGAGCCTGCTTAGTCCTGCATTTAACCCTCTCAGCTCCATGGAAAGACTGAAAAACGATAGAGCACGAGACTAGGTGCCAGGAGCCCTGTGCACTGAACCCAGCTCTGTCACTGTGGAGTCTTAGGCCAAACCCTCAGTCTCTCTGGGCTCAGTCTCCCATTTATAAAACTGGTGGTAGTGGTGGTGATGGTGTTAGGTGCCATCGAGTCAGTTCCCACTCATAGAGACCTTATGCACAAGAGATGGAAACACTGTTGGTACTGCACCAACCTCACAATCACTGTTACACTATCATTGAGCCTATTGCTATCATTGTGCCAATCCATCTCATTGGGGGTCTTCCTCTTTTCTTCTGACCCTCCACTTTACCAAGCATGATGTCTTTCCCCAGGGACCGGTCCCTCCTGACAACACATCCAAAGTATGAGGGACAAAGTCATGCCATCCTGGCTTTTAAGGAGCAATCTGGCTGTATTTCTTCCAACACAGATTTATTTATTCTTCTAATAGTCCATGGTACTTTTAATATTCTTCTCCAACACCGTAACTCAAATGCATCAGTTCTTGTATGGTCTACCTTATTCATTGCCCAACTTTCATATATATATGAGGCTACTGAAAATACCATGGCTTGGATCAGATGCTCCTTAGTCCTCAAGCTAATATCTTTGCTCTTGAATACCTTAAAGAGGTCTTGTGCAGCAGATTTACCTAATGCAATACATCATTTGATTTCTTACCTGCTGCTTCCATGAAGATTGAGAGTGGTCCCAAGCAAAATGAAGCCTTCTATAACTTCTATTTTTCTTCATTTATCATGATGTTATTTATTGGTCCAGTGGTGAGGATTTTTATTTTCTTTACATTGAATTGCAACCCATACTAAAGGTATTTTCATTAAGCATTTTAAGTTATTTTCACTTTCAATAAGCAAGGTTGTAACTTCTGCATATCGCAGTTTGTTAATAAATCTTCCTCAAATCTTGATGCCACATTCTTCTTCAGATAATCCAGCTTCTCGGATTATATTCTCAGAATACAGATTGAATAAATATGGTGAAAGAATACAACCTTGGTGCACACCTTTTCTAACAGCTGAATTTTGGTCTATGTTCAGGTTCATCAGGAGCACAATTCAGTGTTCCAGAATACCCATTCTCTGATATGTTGTCCATACTTTGTCATGATCACACAGTCAAAAGCCTTCAGTACCATTAGATTTTTATCATATGTTACCTCTAGGAATGGTTGAACATTGACCATTTCTTTTAGGTACAGTGACTCTGTGCATCCTTCCATCTTCTTTTGATGCTTTTTGCATCATTTAGCATTTTGTTCATGTTGCTGTTGTTAAGAGCTGTCAACTTGGTTCCAACTCATAGTGACCCTATATACTCATAGTGATCCTGTTTCCAAGGAGTGTCTGGTGAGTTTGAAACACCAACCTCATAGTTCAAATCTACCTTGTGGTCCAGTGCTTTATCCTAAGCATCACACCAGTACACCTGTTTTGCCCAATAGAATCCTTCAATATTGCAAGTCTAGGCTTGAAATTTTTTCTTCAGTTCTTTCAGCTTTAGAAATACAAGTGTGTTCTTCCCCTTTGGTTTCTAACTCCAGGTCTTTGCACATTTCATTATAATACTTGACTTTGTCTTCTCAAACTGCCCTTTGACATTTTATGTTCATATCTTTTACCTCCTCATTTCTTCCATCTGCTTTAGCATCTCCACGCAGTACAGCACATTTCAGAGTCTCTTTTAACAGTCAATTTGGTCTTTTCTCTTTTTTTTTTTCATCTTAATGACCTTTTGCTTTCTTCCTGTATGATGCTCTTAATGTCATCCCACAACTCTTCTGATCTTCAATCATTAGTGTCTAGTACATAAAAATCTCTTCTTGAGATAGTCTCTATCAGGTCGATGTGTTCAAGGTCATATTTTGGCTCTCATGGACTAGTCTTAATTTTCTTCAGCTTCAGTCTGAACTTGCATATGAGCACTTGGTGGTCTGTTCCACAATTTGCCCTTGGCCTTGTTTTGGCTGATGAGATAGAGCTTTTCCAAGGAGCTCTGATAGTGTAGTGGTTACAAGTCAGGCTGCTAATCTCAGTCAGCATTTCTAAACTATCAGCATTTCTGTGGGAGAAAGATGAGGTTTTATACTCCCATAAATATTTACAGCCTTGGAAACTCTATACAGGGTCACTAGGAGTCAGAATGGACTTGAAGGCACACAACCACCACTGTAACTTTTCCACCGATGTAGTCAATTTGATTTCTGAGTATTCCATCTTGTGAGGTCCATGTGTATAATCATCTTTTATGTTGTTTAACATAGGTATTTGCAATGAGTAAGTCATTGGTCTTGTAAAATTCTATCATGAGATCACCAGCATCCTATCTATCATCAAAGCCATATTTTCCAACTACTGATC